GGAACAGGGAGCCCCCAATCCCCATCCCGGGGGTCTCCCTGGAACACAAACCCCCCAATCCCCATCCCAGGGGTCTCTCTGGAACACGAACCCCCCAATCCCCATCCTGGGGGTCTCCCCGGAGTGGGACAGCCCCCAATCCCAATTCTGGGGTCCCTCCGTAACATGAACCCCCCAATCCCCATCCCGAGGGTCTCCCTGGAGCGGGGCAGCCCCCAATCCCAATTCTGGGATCCCTCTGGAACCTGAACCCCCCAATCCCCATCCCGGTGTTCTCTCCGGAGAGGGGCAGCCCCCAATCCCCATCCCAGGATCCTTCTGTAACACAAACCCCCCAATCCCCATCCGGGGGGTCTCCCCGGAGCGGGGCAGCCCCCAGTCCCCCCCGAGTGCCCCGTACCCACCCTGATGAACTGCTGGAATCGTTTGTCCCGGGCCAGCAGGTCCTTGTACTCCTTGAGGGCCCGGCTGTGCTTGGAGCAGAATTCCGCGTACGCCTTCCGGAGCTGCTCCGCGCTGGGGCCCGAGAACTGGGGGGGGATCAGGGACAGTGACCCCCCCCGGCCGTCCTTGGGCATCCCCCACATCCCAGCACTCCCATCCCAAAGTGTCCTGGGCTCCCAGTCCCTCATTCCCGGCCCCCTGATCTCCCGGTCCCTGGTCTGTTCCTATTCCCCCCATTCCCTGTTCCTATTCCCCCCTCCCCATTCCCATTCCCATACCTGGCTGACCAGGATGTCTCCTCATTCCCATTCCCATACCTGGCTGACCAGGATGTCCCCTCATTCCCATTCCCATTCCCATACCTGGTTGACCAGGATGTCCCCCCCATTCCCATTCCCATTCCCTGTCCCCATTCCCATTCCCATTCCCGTACCTGGCTGACCAGAATGTCCACCCATTCCCTGTCATTCCCATTCCCATTCCCTGTCATTCCCATTCCCATTCCTATTTCCATTCCTATTCCCATTCCCGTACCTGGCTGACCAGGATGTCCCCCCATTCCCTGTCATTCCCATTCCCATTCCCATTCCCATTCCCATACCTGGCTGACCAGGATGTCCCCCCATTCCCTGTCATTCCCATTCCCATTCCCATTCCCATACCTGGCTGACCAGGATGTCCCCTCATTCCCATTCCCATTCCCATACCTGGTTGACCAGGATGTCCCCCCATTCCCTGTCATTCCCATTCCCATACCTGGTTGACCAGGATGTCCCCCTATTCCCTGTCATTCCCATTCCCATTCCCATTCCCATTCCTGTACCTGGCTGACCAGGATGCCCCCCCATTCCCATTCCCATTCCCATACCTGACTGAGCAGGATGTCCCCTCATTCCCATTCCCTGTCATTCCCATTCCCATTCCCATTCCCATTCCCATTCCCATTCCCATCCCATACCTGGCTGACCAGGATGTCTCCCCATTCCCATTCCCGTACCTGGCTGACCAGGATGTCCCCTCATTCCCATTCCCATTCCCATACCTGGCTGACCAGGATGTCCCCCCATTCCCTGTCATTCCCATTCCCATTCCCATTCCCATTCCAATTCCCGTACCTGGCTGACCAGGATGTCCCCTCATTCCCATTCCCTGTCATTCCCATTCCCATTCCCATTCCATACCTGGCTGACCAGGATGTCCCCTCGTTCCCATTCCCATTCCCATTCCCATTCCCATTCCCTGTCATTCCCATTCCCATCCCATACCTGGCTGACCAGGATGTCCCCCAGGCGGTGGATGACGAAGTTCTTGTTGCTGTCGCGCTCCAGGGATTCCCGGCGCCGCTCCAGGAGCTGGCTCAGGAAGCGCTGGTGGAGGAGGCTGAGCTCGTCCAGGCAGGGGAAGATTCTCTGGACGGTGCCCGGGTCGAGCTGCAGCTCCTCCAGCATCGCCCTGCGGAACAGCCCGGCCATGATCTTCAGCGTCCGCACGTGGTGCAGCTCCGTCTGCATCAGCTCTGCGGGGGCACGGCCGTCAGGGACAGTGGGGACAGGGACAGGGACACAGAGGGGACACACAGGGACAGGGACAGACTGGGGAGAGGGACAGGGACAGGGACATGGCAGGGACAGGGACAGGGTCATGATCTTCAGCGTCCACACGTGGTGCAGCTCTGTCTGCATCAGCTCTGCGGGGGCACGGTCGTCAGGGACAGTGGGGACACACGGGGACAGGGACAGGGACACATTGGGGACAGGGACACACTGGGGAGAGGGACACACTGGAGAGAGGGACAGGGATAGGGACAGGGACATGGCAGGGACAGGGACAGGGCCATGATCTTCAGCATCCGCACGTGGTGCAGCTCCGTCTGCATCAGCTCTGCGGGGGCACGGCCGTCAGGGGACACCCAGGGACACAGAGGGGACACACAGGGGACAGGGACAGGGACACACTGGGGAGAGGGATAGGGACAGGGACAGGGATGTCCCTGTGTCTCTTATCCCATTCCCTGTCTCCCATTCCCATGTCCCCATCCCTGTCCCCTCACCGTAGATGACATC